ATAATGGAAACCATACATGTATGCACTACATACTGACTTACAAAAAAAATGTATCCTACTTTTTACAGCCAATGAACAGTGTGATAACCATAAAAGTCTACAAAGCAGTAGGATACAATTTTTTTGTAAGTACTAGTATGTAGTGCATTTTGTATAGTTTCCATTATAAAAGTACATGTTTGTTAACACTTAGTTTATCGACGGTTGAGCACGAAACACACACCCGAAAATATTCTTTCTGAATCAAAATTTAAAATACATAAATCAATGATATATTATATTTCACCTAATGCTGCTAGATTTTGTTATAAAAAAAACTTCAAGTAGGCACTGGTACTAGTACACTTCATCAAAATGGTACTGATATCTATAAATATCAGGGACATATAGGCCCTTTATACGTTCTTGTAAATATAGAATAGAATGGCATTTATTATCATAACAGGGCCCAAATGGACCACAGCGCCTGAAGTGTGGATCGATAGCCCCCCCCCCCTTTTAATTAAAAAAAAATGTAAGAGCTTATATAATTTCTCAATAATATAAAAATTTCCCCATCAATCACATCCATACGTCGTTCTATGCAAGCAGATTGTACCTTTTCTTACGTTTAGAGAATGGCCTTGTACGGTATAATAAAAAATACAAAAGGTAAGAAACAAAATATGTAAACAAACGGGAGGTTCCCTGCTTCGAGACATATTTCCAAGGTAATAACAGTGTTACCTATCATAATTTTGCAAGCACTCTGTCAAGGAGATGTTCTTCTACTGTAACAGGAAAGGAGAAAATGTATAGCTAGACCGCGGGAATCGAACCTGGGACCCCTGCATCATTAAAAGGGGGGGGGGGCTATCGATCCACACTTCAGGCGCCTGTGGATATACATAATATAATGTTACTTACGTTCAAATTAAAAGAGGGTGTTGCAGAAACTCGCGATTATTCCCTATATCAATAGCCGCGACACATGAAGATATGTCTAAATATAGAAAAAGCTACGTAGATGACTGTTTTCGGCGGGTATTCCCAGCTTGACATAGCAAAACACTTCACATTAAATTTCGTTCATTCCATGCATAGTTTTTTTCCTAACACAGGAACCGTTTGGCGACCCTTTAGTGAACGTTAACCTTTTTATTTTTTTCTTTTGATTTATTTTTACATGTATGTGTCATTATCGCCATTTGCAAGAGAAAAGTTAGAACAATAACAAGTACAATGGCCAGTGCACCTTGCACAGCATTTTGAAAGATATAATGTAAATAAATGAAAATGAAAATATTTTTTCGTTAAAAAAAAACTGTGTCCCATAGTCACAATATTGATGCTAAATCCAAGACATTTCATTTGTTTCAAATCAGATCTTGGCCACTAAATAACAGACCAAAAATTAATCAAAATGAGAAAACTATGTAAAAATAAATTATCTAAAACAATATTTTATTTTCCAAGACATCTCTCAACTAAACAAAAGCATTAGGTCATTAGTTTTAGGTCACAGTAGCAAGGAAAACAAGTTATAGTTACACTATAGATATGAATTGGTTAGAGGTAAAAACACTCACAGTTTTTCATTCACGAGGGGCGGAGCCCCGAGTGAATAAAAAACTGAGTGTATTTACTGCTAACCAATTAATATCTATTGTGTTAGTTACTTAATTATACCAGAGGACCAATGAGAGAAAAGCGAGTTGATAATTAGCACCGCCTACTACGAGGTGTCAAGCCACGGTCCGGAGTCTGTATAAATATCTGTCTCCATCTGCAAGGATCATACGTAACTGCGGCACTGTGAGAAGATATTGTATCTTTGAAATGTTGAAGACAGGAAAACATGATTTTTGTCAGGTACAGGTATAGGGGTAGCGACTGTAGGCTTTTTTATTCAAGTCGTCAACTCTGAAAGAAAATTTATCTTTCTAGGTCTTTTTTTGTTTTGTTTTGTTTTTTTGAAAAAAGGGGGATGGATATGGGAAACATTGCCATTAAACTTTTTCTTTATGGCAATCGGCGTACAGAAAAGAATAAACTTTCATTGCTTTTTCTTTATGAGAATCGGCGTACAGAAAAGAATGAAATGATTTGTGACATTTTAATGAAAGTTTATTCTTTTCTGTACGGCGATTGCCATAAAGAAAAAGTTTAATGGCAATGTTTCCCATACCCATCCCCCCTTTTTTCACAAAAAAAAAAAAAAAAAAAAAAAAAAAAAAAAAAAAAAATTCTCGTCATTCTCTTTCCCGTCTCCAAATACAAATAGCAATTTCACATCAGAAGTCCCCGAGTTTTTTTTTTTACTTCCAATACCATTTCAAACTTTCATTAAAATGTCACAAATCATTTCATTCTTTTCTGTACGCCGTGCTATATAGAAAAAGTTCAATGGCGATGTTTCCCATACCCATCCCCCCTTTTTTCCAAAAAAAAAAAAAAAAAAAAAAAAAAAAAAAAAGATCTAGAAAGATAAATTTTCTTTCAGAGTTCACGGCTTGAATATAAAAGCCTACAATCGCTACCCCTGTACCTGACAAAAATCATGTTTTCTGCGTCTTCAACATTCCAAAGGTACAATATCTTCACACGTACCAATTCCGTTTTTTTTTTTAAACAATTTGCAGTAGCAGTGACGCAGCTAAGTATGATCCTTGCAGATGGAGACAGCTATTTATACAGACTCCGGACCGTGGCTTGACACCTCGTAGTAGGCGGCACTAATTATCAATTTGCTTTTCTCTCATTGGTCCTCTGGTACAAGTAACTTACACAATAGATATTTTAATTGGTTAGCGGTAAATACACTCACAGTTTTTATTCACTCGGGGCTCCGCCCCTCGTTAAAAAAGTAAAAATCATAAATGACCCATTCCAGGATTCGATCCCATTCTCGGGTAAAAGAATTTGTTGTGGGTCAAACCTCCCTTCACTGAAAATCAGGCGTATGAGAGCCATGGCCCTCGAAGTCTTCAAAACTGTAAATAAGCAAAGCCCATTGTTCCTGCAAGATTTATTTCAACATAGAAATTCCACATACAATTTTAGGTACCAAAAGACTCTGGAACTACCTAGGCCAAGAACTACTAGGTATGGAAAACAGTCTTTCAGCTATGCGGCTGCTACGTTGTGGAACTCTTTACCAAACCATGCTAGGGAACTTTCCACCCTCAACCAGTTTAGAACATTCATTGACACATGGAGGGGGGGGGGGATGCAAGTGTAGTTCCTGCAGAAACCACAGCGTGGGGGCAACATAACTGATGAGACAATATTTATTTATTTATTTTAGAGTTACAGTCTTCTATTTTTGCAGTTTTTCGTTTATTTTTGAAGTCTTTCATTTGCTTTACTGATACCACCTCAATTTATTTTATTGTGTTTTTTCTAAGTTTCTTTTATATCTATATATTAAACTTTGCTATTTACTTAAATTTTCAATAATAAGGACCCTAGGGGCTGAAACTTTTGGAGTAACATCCTATGATGGCAAAGGTGTAAGCTCTCCAGGATCCTAGTTTCTTTTATTTTTGTTTTTGATATCTGCTTTTTCCTAACCTCACAACAATACATATCCTGTCTATGTAAGTAGGGACTGACCCAATCACTAGACAGGATGTGTGTTGGTGAGGAACTTCAATTATTTATTTATTTATTTATTTATTTTTTTTTATAATTTTGGTTAAGCTGTATCTGCTTGAATTTTTAAGTTTCTAAGCTATCAATTTTATTTTTCTATTATTAATACAATTAGTGCTTTTTAATCTGATCCCATGTGTTTAATGTAGTGTTTTATCTAATTTGTTATTATGATGATGCTTATTATTTTTTTTATTTTTGTTCTTAATGCAATCATTTTGCTCTTCAGTTTTCTGTTCTTTTTTTTCTAATTCTTAAATTTGTTTTATCTGCCATGCGTGTGTATATATGTACATGTGTTTTTTGCATGTTAATTTATGTTGTAAATGTTTTCTCTGTGATATTTTTAGCTGTGATAGTCGGTTTAAGAGCTCTACAGAGCTCATGTTCATTGTTAAACTTTGTAAAAAATGCCGACTTTAAATAAAATTTACTTACTTACTTACCATCATAACCACTAGACCATTTCAGACGCTATTTACTTACTAGTTATTTTATGTAGACATTTTGCATTTCGTATGAATAATAATTTTTATTCAATTTTTGCGTTTTTCAAAATATGCCTCTTTGAAACAAAAATCGGAAATGGCAGTTTTGAAGAAAAATCCTGCCTCATTGTGCATATACATGTATCAATATTTTTCTGTTTCAAGGAGGCAGTTTGTCACAACAACGGAGATTCCGTATTTAAAATACGGAAAATCCGATATATTTTGCTGTGTGACTAATTTACACTTCATTTATTGGCAAATTGGAAGTCAATATGCAGCTTCCAAATATTGTTCTACATTGTGCTGTGTATACCTTTGTATCTGAAAAAAATTAACATCATTTTCTGTAACTTAATTTTCTTCCTTTAATCTGCTACACATTTAGGGAAAATAACAAAAGAACTGCAACACCCTCTTTTTACCGATTTTGAACTCGAATAACCGTGAACGTTTCAATAATTAAATTGACTTTAAATAAATGAGTCTTTTATTTTAATGTGGAGTCGGTACATAAATCGGTTATTGTTTTGATTTTGTGATTTCTTTGAAACGCAGTTGATTTAAATTGTGTAATTTACAGAAAAGACCTATCTTTATATAAAGTAATAAATCAAATAGAAAGGCAGCATGCTAAAGGATATATTGTACAGATTAAACATATAAAAAGAAAGCTTCGGTTTAAGATGGCGATTTCTAACAGAATGTAGCTCTCTATCATTTTTCTAGTTTATCTCACAATGAAAAAAAAATATATAAAACTAATAGTGACAATTTATTAAAAGAACCAAGTGGTGCCTGATTTAGCACAACCAGACTTATCATCACTTGTTAAATCCTCGGGCTCGACATTCTATATTTGGCTGTTTCCGGTTATAAGTGTAATAAGAACATTTTCTAACAAAATAAAACAATGATTAAACTATTTTCTTTGAAACAACAGAAAAAGGATGGAATCGATTCTTCGGACAGAGGATCACAGAAAAAGGCATCAGCAGCACAACTACGTATACAGAAAGGTAGTTTATTGTGTAACAGACACATGAATAAAGAAAAACAAGTGGTACCCAATTTCATCCGTGAAAGTGCACATTACATCACCACAGCACATTTTTTTATAGATCAAATAACGATTTTTCTGTTGATTGTATAGATTTGATAAAGTTTGATTTGAAATAATTATTCTTGTAGACATTCTTTTGAGTCATCGTCAGACTTCGTTTCTATCATGTCTAAAGGCTTAATCAGGTCCAGCACAATCTCTTGATTTAGCTATATAGCTTGAATTAGCTATATGGTATAGCTTTATTTAGCTATTTAGAATAGCTTGATTTAGATATTTTATCACACTTTTTCCTTAAATGTGTTATCTTTTCAAACTGTACAAAATGTCGCATCTTAGTGCAGTGATCAGGTCTGGGCGGCCTCCGTTTTTGGAGGATAGCTAAATTCAATATGGCGGCTAAAATTTTTACCATATATGGAAACCCTGTTGAATTGTGGGATAGTTTATCCTCCGATTTCAGAGGATAACACAGGTAATTTTCAAACACCTCGTGCCTATCTTTAATCAAAAAGTGCAAGCACCAGAGTACATGCAAATAAAAGTTCAAACATTGAACTATCGATTGTATGTGGTGATTGGAGATTCTATGTCTAGATATTTTGCAATTTATTTTCAAAGTTAGCACTTTTTGCGCTCCATTATTACTGAATATTTCTTGTTATTTTGTTTTATTTTTTATGATTTTTCTCTATTTATACAAATAAAAGAGGGCTTTAATCAGTCAGGAGTGAGACTGAAATCCGGTATTTCTGAAAAATGATGGATAATCGTCATATTTACTAACTACGTGTTTTCGTCATTTTTGTAAATATGACTTACCATCGTCATATTTTCTTTTTCAACTTAATTCTTCTATCCTGGTTACATAAAAGCGAAATTTGAATTCACCGCTGAAAGAAGAGTGTTTACGCAAGTTTCGTGTCATCAAGGTCACTAATTACTGCCAACCACGTGCGTTAGAACATCAACATGGAAGGTGAAAGTGATTATTTAGCGGTAAAATGTCGAATTTTGGTAGAACTAATTCGCCATTTTTACATGGCTTTTAGCCCTATAAAAACATATAGTACACTGTCTGGAAGAATACGTATTTGTAGAGAAAAGTCTCGACAAAAAGTTAAAGCCATAAAAAAGTAGTGCACCCAGTAAAACAAGCGAGATATTTCAGTGCGCCCAGACCCTCCATTTTGAAAAAAAGACGGAATATCGTCATTTTCATCTTCTTTTCTATTTAATGCAAATAAATTGACAAATAACTCTTCCACTCTTATTTTTGCTTGGGAAATTTGTACTGTCAACATAACCAGTATTGTAGTCAACTGTATTAGAGAAATAAAGTTTGTTTACGATATTTTTTGTCCTTTTTTCAGTTGGTGGATCTAACATTTTTCAAAGAGAGGTAACTCGGTATTCTAGAAACACTCTAAATTTTTATGACTGTTTTTTGTCATTTCCTTAAAAATGACGAGTTTAAGTCATAATAAATTTTTTATTTTATGACTAAAAATCGTCATTTTAAAATTGACGTATTTCAGTCTCACCCCTGACTGTTAATATTTCTTTTATATTTTCTTTTAATTCAAAAAAGGAAACCCAAAATGAAACGCATTTTAAGCGTATTTAAAACGCAAAATTTACTCTGCCTTATAATTTAAGCAAATAAAAGTATAAATGGATTGAATGAATAATTATAAAGATAAAAAAATAATTTGAATAGCATAAGTAAATAAAATAAATAATTTGACATGTCTACTAAGAAATTAACATATATTCATACAGCCATGTGTATACATAAACAAATAAAATATTAAAAGTGATGTGCTAAAGAATTATTAAATGAAAGAAATAATACATGATTAAACTTAATTTTTCCAAAAAAATTGTTCATCAAAATTTCTAAACTGCTTATCACATAATTACGGTACTGGAAAATCAGCGTGGTTATAATTAACCCCAGTCACAGGCAGGTAAGGCCAAATAAAAAAATATGTGTGGTTCCGGTTACCCGACCGTCCCTATTTTATACCCCCTGACCCTAAACTTTTTTTGACAATTTTCATATTTTTTCCGGAATTTTCCCCAATTTCCATCAATGGCTCCGGTTTAAGTTTTAGTTTCAGCAATGACAGCCTCCTTGCACAACATAGTGCAAGTGTTTATTAGTGTTAAATCCAAAGCAAGCTAGCATGTAGGTGTTCCCTACCAATACTGACTAGTATTTTATCACACCACATCTAAATGTCATTTGCAGAGTAGTGATAAGTATTATTTAGAATAATTAAGAAAATCATTTTGTTAAAAAAAAAAAAAAAAAAAAAAAATCCCTACCTACCTACCCTAATTTTTTTGGAGGTGTAACCGGAACCACACATATTTTTTTGTTTGGCCTAAAAGCAATATTTGTTTTCCAAACTGTATACCAAATAATTGATTGATGGTAATTACAAAAATATAGATATATTGATTTAATATCTGGAATTATCCATCATCATAGGAAATTGTACCTTTTATTTGTTCTGATTTCGAAATCAGCATACGGTTCATAAATGCAAGAGTTGCTGTTATTTGTTTGGTTAAGAGTTAACTGCCCTTAGTTTTGAAAATTCCGGTAGGTAGCAAGACCGCTATCCTCTGTTTTCAGAGGATAAAATCTATCCTCCAAAAACAGAGGCCGCCTAGACCTGGTGATAGAATTTAAGCTTGAAAACTCTTCTGAAAACAATGGATGTTAACATTGCTCATCAAATTGTGACTTTGAACTCAAAGTTCTTAAAGTTTTTAGGCTATATAAAGCAATTGATTTGTGACCTCACAGTTACTTGCTGAATGAAATTATAAAGGATTTCAGTTATGGTCAACAAGATAATTGATTAGTAATAATTCAGCACAGTCTTATCCACGCCTCAGCCCTAGGGCTGTATCAATATATCCATATATCCATATGTACTGATATTCATGTATATATCGTATTGAAAAAATAACTTCCAATATGTATCGGGCAGGTAGTTTTTCCTATAATTCTGTGAAAAAGTTGGGAATTTCAATCACCAAAGATTATTTAACTGTTCTGAATTAAAACTGATCAGTAATGATACAAACATTAAGGAGATCACACATCTTAATAATTATTACAAAATGCAGAGACAACTATATTATAACATGTTGGTTTCACAGTCATTAAAAATTTGAATTTGAAATGTATTTTGTAATGACAGTGAGACAAGAACTTCAAAGTGGGTTATAAAACACTTAGTTTTTTTAAAATTTATGCATTAAATGATTTACAAGACTTTTGATAGACTTGTTAAAGAATCCAATATATTGCATATGGCTTTACAAAATATCACATTGTATCAAATATTTTGGCTCAATTCACAGCCCTACTCAACGCACACAATGTGGTGTACAGTTACCCAAACAATGGAATTTATACATCTTTTGCTTATTCAAATGCTGCAGTGTTAGAACTCTCTTTGATTTGGGTTGTTTTTTTTTTATATTCCATAGTGCATATATGAATAATTGAAAACTTTCCACTTTCATCTATTTCTTACATAAAACACTTTTGTGAAAAACTGCATATAAATAGCTTTATCAAGCTATTCTGAATAGCTTAATTAATCTATGTAGCTAATTCAAGCTATATAGCTAAATCAAGAGATTGTACTGGACCTGGTAATACTGATACTTTGTTATTGTTTGATAAAAAAAACCAGGTATGGTATGTAGCTCTTTTTAGAAAATTTTAAAGATGTGTGATGCTTAGGACATAGATCATCTTAATTTACAGTCCCAGTGAGGGTCTTCCTAAGACATAGATACATTATTCTATATTTGGTCTATATTTCTTACTTGGTCACCTCTTAATATGTTAACTGTGCAACTCTTTGGGCGAGCGCAGTTGTGTATCACTGGATAATCATTTTTAACTAAGATGTGCCTCTTCAAATAGCACCAGACACTTGGAACATTTAGACTGTCATCAAATTGTGATGAATTCGAATCACTGACCAACATTTCAAGAGCATTGCATATGAAAACCTTGTCTGGAGCACATTTTCTCTCTCCTTGGTCCAATATGGTTTCTTCTTCATCATAGAGTGCCCACAGGTAGAGGACGTGCAATGCCCTTGAATCAATTTATAGAGCAAAGATTAAAGTCTGTTAACATTTCGGTCTTCTATAGCTCATACTTTACCCATAGAATGCCCATGAGTTTAGGATGTGCACTGACCTTGAGTCAAGTTTCTAGGTTAAAGGTCAAGGTCATTATTCATAGGAAATCTATCTAAGAAATCCTTGTTCAGGTCATATTTTTCCCTTCCCTAAGCCCTATCTGGCTCATACTTCGCCAATAGAGTGCTAGATGGACGAGGCTGTTCAGTGTCCTCAAGCAAAGTTTCTAGGTCAGAAATCTAGATCATAATAGATCTCTGTGTGAATTCTTTGTCATGACCATATTTTATCTCCCTTTGGTACCATTTGGTTCATACCTCACACAAAGAATGATCATGGGTTAAGATGTAAGTCAAGGTCAAACTCCAAATACAGTCCTTTCATCTTGATGTTCTTTACTAAATGGACACCATCTCAATATATGATTCTTTTTGTATAGGATATGTTGCAAATGAATTCATATATTTTTTGCTCTGTTTATTTTTTTCAGATATTAATGAACTGAATTTACCAAAGACATGCCAAGTTGACTTTCCAGACCCAGATGATCTACTCAACTTCAAACTCATAATTTCACCAGATGAAGTAAGAATTTGCACCATAGTAATCACTCTGTCTTCTGTCTGCCTGTCTTTCTTCCATTATTCTTCCATCTGCAAATTTTCTGCTTTTTAGGTCACCTGAGTATGAGTAGGGTGGGGCTCTAATGATTATATAGTGAAAATGCATTATTTCTTTGAAAAATCCACTTCTCTGCTCCTAGTTATTAACCAACAAACTAAGTGCATAGTTATGATGAGCAAGGGTGCCTGTTCCAAAATGGTGAATTTCATGGCCCCTGGGTCAGGGATTCCAGTGTTAGGAATCCTAGGATGGTGCTCTATTGATTATATAATGAAAATACATGAATTCTTTGAGAACTTATTCTCTGCTCCTGAGTTTTTAAGATAAACTAAGTGCATAGTTGTTATTAGCATGGGCTCTTCTTCCAAAACTGGGAAATTTTTTTCCCCAAGGTCAGGGGCTTTGGTGTTAAAGGGGGAGATCTTTTGATTATATAGTGAAACACATTATTTCTTTGATTTTTTTTCTCTTCTCTTGGGCATTAAGCAGGTAAACTAAATGCATGGTTAAGATAAGAAAGTGTGTCTCTTCCAAAATTGTGAATTTCGCATGTCAGGGGTTCTATTGGCACGGTGGGGCTGTGTTGAATTTATAGTGAAAATGCAATTATTTCTTTGAAAATGTTCTCTGCTCCTGGGAATCTAAGTGGCAAACAGAGTACAAAATTGTAATAAGCAATGGTATTTTTACCAGATTTTTAAAATTCTGGAACACTTGTTCAAGCATTCTGGCACTTAGCAGTGCAAGTAAAAAGACCTACTGTAATATTTGTGTATTTTGCTTTTGGGCAACATAGCTTCATCTATCAGTTTTTAGCTCACCTGAGCTGAAAGCTCAAGTGTGCTTTTCTGATCACCTGTTGTCCGTCGTCTGTCCGTCTGTAAACTTTTCACATTTTAAACTTCTTCTCAAGAACCACTGGGCAATTTTGACTGAAGTTAGTACAAAGCATCCTTGGGTGAAGGGGAGTTTAAATTGTTAAAATGAAGGGCTAAGCCCCTTTACCAGGGGAGATAATAAAAAAAGACAAAAATAGGGTGGGGTCATTAAAAAAAATCTTCTCAAGAACCACAGGGCCAGAAAAGCTGAAATTTACATGGAAGCATCCTGGGGTAGTGTAGATTCTAAATTGTTCAAATCATGAACCCGAGGGTAGGGTGGGTCCACAATGGGGAATCAAAGTTTTACATTGAAATATATGGGAAAAATCTTTAAAAAACCTTTTTCTCAAGAACCACTGGGCCAGAAAAGCTGAAACCTACATGAAAGTATTCTGGGGTAGTGTAGATTCTAAATTGTTCAAATCATGACCCCTGGGGGTAGGATAGGGCCACTATGGGGAATCAAAATTTTACATTGAAATATATGGAAAAATCTTCTTCTCAAGAACCACTGGGCCAGAAAAGCTGAAACTTACGTGGAAGCATTCTGGGGTAGTGAAAATTCTAAATTATTCAAATCATGACCCCCAGGGCTAGGGTGGGACCACTATGGGAAATCAAAATTTTACATTGAAATATATAGGAAAAATCTTTAAAAATCTTCTCAAGAACCACTGGGTCAGAAAAGCTGAAACTTTCAAGCAAGCATCCTGGGGTAGTGTAGATTTTAAATTGTTCAAATCATGACCTCCGGGGATAGGGTGGGGCCACAATACATATAACAAGTGGAAAACTGGTGAAGAACAGCAGGGCCAAATTACTCAGGTGAGCGTTGTGGCACATGGGCCTCTTGTTTGTTTTATTTCATACTTCTGTGAATCCTTTACAGTATTGAATTATGTTTAGGTGAGCATTAAAGCCCTTGGGCCTATTGTTCTTTGTGTACATCAATGCATGGAAAAGATTTAGAATGACTTGAATTGTATCATGCAGTGCACACTTACATACATGAGGCACAATTTGACTAAGTTTGTTTGTATATTATTTGAGTTATTTATTTGGTAAATTATTTTGATAGGAGGTAAAGAATTCCATTAAAATGTAGTATATACAACATGTACAATTTTACTTTGTTTTTCACCACTTGTTCATTTTTTGATACTTCACACCATTTTTAAAAAAAAAATTGTTTCATATTGAGAATTATTTTAAGGAGCTATATTATTCTAGCTTCTTAAAATAAAATATTTTCTTCACTTTCAACTCTTTGTAAGTGAATTAAATACAAGTTCATCTACTTTAAAATAAATTGTCAAAACCTTTCTGGTTAGGCACAGGTAAAGCTTACCTTCCCCCAGATCTTTTATTATGAATTGTTTATTCTCTTTACAGGGGTTCTACAGAGGTGGGCGATTTGTGTTCAGTTTTAAGGTTTTGCAAGGATATCCACATGACCCTCCTAAGGTCAAATGTGAAACGATGGTGTATCACCCCAACATTGATTTAGAAGGAAATGTTTGTCTTAATATATTACGGTAAGTTATGAAGTTGTAACTACTGTCTGAAAATAAGTTAAATTTAAATGTGGTGTTTCCTGAGTATTTTGCAAAGTCTTTGGTCTATTAATTATCTGGTACCAGATAAGGATATTGTTAAATACATTTTAAATTAAATTTAATGTATACATCTTTAATTCTAAATTAAAAATTAAATGTCTAAAATTTCACAACTTTCTATGTGACATTGTCGGTACACTTTATGGTAGCAGTAGTTTTTAATTTCGTGGTCTTTGAATTCTCATTATTGAATATTCTTTAAAACCAAAACAAAGATATGGGAAATTATTCATAATAAATGCATCAAGTAACTAACTTTAACCTATTGTTATCAACCTCAGGTTTCCTAATGATTTCCAATGATCATCGTTTTACTAAGAGAATAGGAAAGCAGGATTTTAAACTTCATTGCATGTATTCGGTAGATTTGACATATGAATGCTTACAATATGTCCTCAATATTCATGATGGCTCAATGTTTGTGGAAAATTCTTTGATCATGAACACAGTGAAATTAAAAGAACCTTAATGTATTTCCAACTTTACCATGTTTACAGTATCTTGTATAGAGCAATTGAACATGATATACAGCTAGCTGTACCAGTTGCTGACATGTCATCTTATAGATTGCTAGAGAATAAATTAATTATAGTCATTTACAAAGCTAGACTATTTTCTTCCAATATGAGAATTAAGGTTAAATAATAAATGTTGCATTTGTTGCTGTAATAGAGATAACTTTTTACTAGATACCTTGAGTCACTTGGTGACAGGTGCAACAGCTCCATATATGTATTAGGCCACATAAAATTAAATTTTAGGTTCTATGTGTATTTGCATAAAAGCATAGGGTGGTCATTATATACTGAAATGCAAAAAAAAATGCAACATCCTATTTTAGGGGGAAATATTATATATAGGATAAAAGCTTGTCTCTAAAAAGTAAGGACATCTTCAACTTTGTAAATATGGGTAATTTAACGGTTGAATGAATTTCATACCCTTACCGGAAGTTAAGTTTGAGTCCACTTAACAGAAATCAAAAATTGCATGTTTAACAAAATATTTGGCAATAATATGGGGTTTTAAGAGTTTGTGTCTGTTCATCATAAATAATGAAGCAATGTTACAAAAAATAAATTCTCATTTCTTTTCCATAAGCGATGCCAAGGCTTCCTAAAAATGACTTAAGTAGGCATTTCCAATGCTCTAGCTGGAAAATGTCAAAATAAAGGTGATGGAGAGTTGCAGATGCAAATATGCAACACATCACACCTCAACAAGCTCTTACGTATCAATAGCATGAATGACAGTCCTTGGACCGAAAGTCCAAGGGTTACTACACTCGCTTGGCAAGAGAAAAATCGACCTCGTCATCTGAAAAACAGGCATTTAAAAATGGCAAAGAATATTTCTTTCGCTCAGATCACAAGATTGATGAACCTACTGCATCGTAGAAATCAAGCTGCAACTGTTGTACATGGCAGTCTTGCACGCTGTAATTGGATGGCCGGGGTGGGGGTGTTTTAACATTCATGTGTTACTTTCTAAAGTTAAAAGATTATAATTAAACATTTTTATCAAATCTCTGATGTTTATAAATTGAGTTTTACCTTACTGTATTCATTTTTGAAAATCATTAGATAAAAAATTCAAATATTTGTAGATTACTGCTTGTTGCATTTCCTTTGCGTTTCAGTATAATTTTTATTTTTTAAATATCACATTACTTGTCATTTTATAGAAAATATTCATTTTTTTTCATTTTGCTAATGCTAATATGAGTAAATTAAATATTTTTTTCAGTTTCAATCTTACAAATTTTAAATACAGTGGCGCCGCGGTAATCCGGACGCCAATAATCCGGACGCTTCACCTTGCGGACGATATTTTTTGGGAACTGATTTTTTCCACATTATTCTGTCTCATTAATCTGGAAATTTGCATTCCGGATCCGGACGGTCAATTTCTACTACAAAACGCAATATTTCATTGAAAAATGACTCGTTTATCCGGATGGTAATTTTTCGAGGAATGACTTTTCACACCTTTCTTGCAGTAGTGATAATTATTGTAAAAACATTGTCCGTGGAGTCAGTTTGAAGCGGTTACCTGTGACCTCTAAACAATAGTGTCTATAATTAGCGTGTGTTTACCTCAGCTAAAACACACGTCTTTTATATTATAAAGCTCGAAGAATATAGCTTATACTGTGCATTAATTAAATTGCTAACGTATATAAATTTATGAGAATTTTGGAGAGTTGTAAATAAAATTTTTACTGAATAATAAATCACGAGATTTCGTTGTGGTATCGAGTTACGTAAGTTTATCAAAATACGATCGTACATTATTTGAAACTTTTTTTTTTCTTTTCATAAGACAATTTATTATGATACATAATTCAAGAAAATATATTTCTATTAATGCACTAAGAGATACATAACTGGTGTTAGTTATAAATGCCGATCACGTCTTTTCAAGATATATAACTTAGAATTTATAGAAAAAGTATTGATAATCCTGAATATGGCTTGTGTTTACGTTGAATGTTTGCAATATGTACACTGATTGCAGTATTTAGTTACTTACTTCCCTATGTGGTGAACATACGTGGTTAATCATTTGAACATTCTCAATGGTGATAATGAACAGTTCTACCTAATATGAGCTTGAATAAATATAAAAAAAAAAGTGCCAAAATAAAACAGTAGCAGATCAAAATTTGGTCAGCCCATGTAACTACATGTCAAATAGAAGGCGAATAAAGTTTCTGTGTTAGAAAAGGAAGTCTCAACATAAAACTGCCTATCCATTTTTCATCCTGTAAATTACATTTTAATTTTTTTCTCTTTTTTAATATCTATTATTTCTTTTAAAACTATAAAAATAAAATCAATAAGTCAAGGTAAAATAAAGGTGTTTTCTTTGCCTTCACATTTGATACCACTATGTTCATAAGTATATGATTTAAGAGGGTACGCCTTTTAAGAAGTGATTCACTTATCCGGATGATTCATTTATCCGGACGATTTCGTTGGGGACGGAGGCGTATGAATTAACTAGGCGCCACTGTAGTATGATACTGTTATCTTTTTCATACCAATATGAAAGGGACAGGCAGGAATGAGAATTTAGTAATAGATTTTATCTTGTCTTCTTAGATAAGGCCAAAAAAATTAATCAGTAGTTTCTCAGGCACCTCCACGACAGGTCAAAAACTGCTGCATTGATCAATTTTATTGACATATTGAAAAGGAAATAACTCAATTTTCTATTTTTCAAGTTAAAAAGAAAGATTGAGTTATATCCCCTTTCATAAATGCTAATAGATAAGATGTTTTTATTAGATGAACAATAATGTTGCTTGTTAAGTTCATTTTCTTATTAATTTTTAGCTCACCTCAACAAAGTTGGGGGAGCTTATGTAATACCCTCGGCCTCGGCGTCCCAGGTTAAGGTTTTTGGAGCAGTTTTCTTTTCAAGTACTTCCATGGCCTATATTAGTCAGAGATGCATGGAGGATGCTTCTAGTGTGTTTCATTGTACCAGTCAAGGTTTCAGATGCTGCAATTTCAGCTAAAGAATGACCAGGTTAATGTTTTTGGAGCAGGTTAAAGTTTTTGGAGCAGATTAAAGTTTTTAGAGCAGGTCTCAAGTAACTATAAGTCCTATATTGACCAAACTTGCATGGATGATGCATCTAAGGATGCACACTATTGAACTTGCTTCGGATGCTGGATCTGACCTACATTTTCCAGATGAGTGACCAGGTTAAAGTTTTTTGGAGCAGATGTCATTTCCAAGTAACTATAAACCCTATATTGACCAAACTTGCATGGATGATACATCAAAGGATTCACACTACTGGACTTGCTTCAGATGCTGGATCTGACCTTCATTTTACGGATGAGTAACCAGATTAAAGTTTTTGGAGCAGATGTCATTTCCAAGTAACTATAAGCCCTGTATTGACTAAACTTGCATGGATGATACATCTAAGGATGCACACTACTGAACTTGCTTCGGATGATGGATCTGACCTACATTTTCCGGATGAGTAACCAGGTTAAAGTTTTTGGAGCAGATGTCATTTCCAAGTAACTATAAGGCCTATCTGAACCAAACTTGCATGGATGATGCATCAAGGGACGAACAATCTCAAACTTGTGTCGGATGCTGGATTTGACTTACATTTTCTGGATGAGTGACTAGTTTTAAGTTTTTAGATAAGTCTATTCCCAAGTAACTGCAAGCCCTATCAGACCAAAATTGTATAAATGTTGCATTTAGGGATGCACACTCTTAGATTATTAGTTTAGTGTGGGACTTTGCCTTACTTAAAGACAACATTTGTTGAGGTGAGCTCTGTAATCTTTGATTACCTATGTTTGGACTATGTACAAATTAGCACTTATGTAAAGTTACTTTCTTTGACTTTGTATTTTGTATAAAATGAATCTCCAATAGGAGGATCGTCATGGTAGCTCAGTTGGTAGAGTGCTCGCTCCGTGTTAGGTAGGTCGTGAGTTCGAATCTTGGCCGCGACTGACCTATGTCGATAAAATGGGTAGCAACTGTTCCATCGCCATGCGCTCGGCACTTTGAAGTAAAAGTTACGGGTTCTTCGGATGAGACCTTAAAAACTGAGGCCCTGTGTCATGGCAGGCGTTGGCACGATAAGGATCCCTCACTGCTCAATGGCCCTGAGTGCCAAGTAAAGGTCTAAATTTGAAGCCCTTCACCGGTATATGGTGACGTCTCTATATGAGTGAAAAATTCTTGAATGGGATGTAAAACAACAGTCAATCAATCAGTCAACCAATAGGAGGAAATAAATAAAGAATGAATGAATGGTATTTTATGATTTAACTTTTGAGCAAATGTTTGGAAAAACATTATTTAAAGTTCAATACGTATCAAAATTAATGTAAGAGAACGAAAAATGTAAGCATTAATTTTATTATTATTTTGTTGAACGACTTACATGAAAAAAGATATAACACCTGCTTCCAAGAAAAAAAAACCTGTCTGCCGTATTGAATTCTGAAATTTTTGGCCTGAGAAACTAATAATTAATTTTTTGGGGCCTAATGTGTAGCTACATGTATATTTAGAATTTAACTTCATGTATTTTTATTTAAGTAATTGACATCCTGATGTTTGATAAGCATTAAACTATTTGTTTTCTTTTGCAGAGAAGACTGGAAGCCAGTTTTAACAATAAATTCTATTGTCTATGGGTTGCAGTATTTATTTTTGGTAAGGAATTTAGCAAAGAAAACTGCAGAGAAAAAAAATTGTGTAATCTGTCTTTAGTAATCAGCTTCTAATCTTAATCAAAAAAAAAAAAAAATTAAAAAATACTGGTATGGTATATAAAAACTATGTTTACAATTAGTTTGAAAAGAAAACATTATACCGGAAAACAGCTGTCTTGTTTTTGCATTTTTATCTTAGAACGTTGATAGTTACTTTCTTCCACAATTTCTCTGCCTCAAACTGTCTTTGCTTTCAGCATAAAGCATAAATTAGTTGTAAAAAATGACATAATGATTAAATTTTAGGGTCTTCATTTCCTTGCAAAACTCACAATAAACTATTTACACTTGAAAAAAAAATTGGCTATACATATTGTATTTAAAAGCAACTAAATGTAAATCTTTGAAATTCTTGGTGCTTTTGATTCATTATAGGACATTTTTTAAAGCTTTATACCCTATTAATACCATGTTATAGAAATGATACCGAAGAGAATGAGCAATTGCAGTGTCATTTTAAGTGTTATATTGAGACTGTCATAAGTTAAACTTATACCAGTTCAAGTTTGATTTCAGTTTTTAAAAAAACAAGAAATGTCATCTCCTTCGGAAAATAATTTAAGGACCCTCTCTACACTAAATGAAAATGTTTTTTGGACATTGAGAAAATTATATTGTATAAAGCTGCAAATATTAAGCTTATTTATATCGTTTTCAACAAGGGTACCTGGCTTTTACCCCCAAGAAAAATGTTCAAAGTCAACCAAGTTTTGGTGAAAAGAAATCACTGTTGTTTACCTAAGTGGGGAAAAATCATGCAGATGAAGTGTTCAATTAATTTATCTTAGCCCATCAAAATGTTAAGAATGCTTGAATTGATTAGAAATTGATCGATAAACTGTAGATTTAAATTCATCTTATTTTAGATCTAAGGGCAGATTACTTTTAATTAACTACATAAAAATACCACAGAATCAGAACTCTTTAGTGTGCAGTGTATAGAGGGTTCTTAATCTACTAATTTGATTTAAATATATGTTTATTTTTTTTCTTTTGTCACACACACATATTTGAAGTCATGTTATGCTCATGTATGCTTTAACAAATGTAGACATACTGGTATACACTCACAAAAATGATGGTACAGATACTGTATAAACTGATGGGCTCAAGAGCTTTTCATGTGCTTGAGATCTCTCACCTCTACAATTTTACTTTAGGAACCTAATCCAGAGGATCCCTTGAACAAAGAGGCTGCTGAGGTCCTTCAAAGTAACCGACGATTATTCGAGCAGAACGTCACAAAGTCGATGAGAGGAGGCTATATTGGGTCCCTGTACTTTGACCGATGCTTAAAATGATGACAGTCTGTCATTAACAGAGAAATATTGTGATTTTTTCTGTGCTTTGTAAATCATTAAGAAATGTGTCTAAAAGTGGATATTTGTTTGAATGAGACATCTGAATGTGTCTATGGCTGCTTATTATAAAACAGAATATCATGCTGATCAATGATATTTGCTGAAAAGCATGTTTATTCTGTTGTCTCTTGGATAGAAAATTTCAGCAAGATCATGTTAAAGTACACTGGATATTTACATATAACTTTTCATTTAATCCTTCTGTAATATTTTGCTGCTTGGGACATGTTTAACTACCGGTACATGTATTTGTAAAGTCTGGACAGGGTGTGAAATTTTTGTTTAATATGGATTCTGAGCAGATTGCTGTTGGAGCCCAGTTGCTTTCATTTAAGGTAGTAAAAATCTGTATAGCAGAATCCTGTTTCTCAATATTTCCTTAATGTTTTCTTGAATGTTTTTGTGTGAACCATGTGTACCTCTTTTGTACAATGTATCAGAGTGTAATTTATTTACTAAATATGGTGACATGGTAATTTTGAATTCTTCTCAGTAAGTTTATTTGTAAACTCTGATTAGAATATTGGAGGACTTTGTCCCTGTAAAGTATAGCAAGGACTTGATTGGATTTTATTTGAGTGAGCAAGTGCTGAAGTCAGTTGTCCAATTGTTGCAGTTGTGTCATAATGCCATGTTGCTGTTTTAACAGCATTGTTTACTTGGTAGAACTACTTGTATTAATCCATTTATAAAGAGGCTTGTAGTTTGAATGTGTTGCATGTAAAGAAGATTGTATTACCCGGTAGTTAGAAAGTTTTCAAAAGTATAAACTGGTACAATTAAGATTTTAGAATATGGGTGTTTAATGTATTTGACTTCATGTAGCTAAGCTATTTAATTCTTTTTAATTTTGTGTTAACCTTTGCAAATTTATGTTAATTACTTTTCAATATAACAGGGCAGAAAATTTGTTAATGTTTCTTTTTTCCATAATTCTAATTTAATTCCCCAATTTGTGAACACACAAAAAGAATGAGAAAATTATCACAAGAAGATAAGTAGATACTGGTACTGAACATATTAAAGTGCTGTTTTTATATTGACTCATTAGTGTATGAGAAACCTTAATAAACGATCATTAAAATATTATTTGAATGTTATTGTTTGTATGTTTTGTCTGCTTTTCACTAACTTCATTATATGGAGTTTTTCTGGTATGGTAATTTTCATCTTTCTACCAAATCTCCACACTGGTTTTGATTAAATGTGATAAAATTTTGTACATTTATGTAATCTTTGATGAAGCCATCACTATTGTGTTTTGCTTACTGGTGCAGAACATGGTAATCAAATTGAGCTCCCAGTTTTGCCCTGGTCACTTTAAAGGCAGATTTGTAACCTTTGGACACATCATTTTGCATGTTGCTCCAATGGGAAAAGGATATATAGTTGAATGAATTCTGGAGACATCAAGGAGAAAGGGGTCCGTTTTTCTTTTAATTGGACTAGTTTTATGTGAGCCTGCTATATTTTTTGCAGTATTTGTATTACATGTAATTATGGGATAAAACCTAGAGAAAGAGTTAAGGAGTCTGAATATGTTTTGTTCCACTAGTGGTTCTAGCTCATATCACTGATCAAAATGTACGTGTAACAGTATAGGGAAAAAAAATGTGATGAACCAGACCAAGATTTGAACTCATGGCCCCCTGAATCACTAGTCTGGTGCTCTACCAACTGAGCTATCTGGCCACCCACAATCAAATTTGTCTGACCACCACATTCCTCCCTAAGGGGTCTTCGCCCCAGAAGACGTACACCAATCCAGGCTCTTCCCAGACAGGTCTTTCACATGTCACTTCCAGCTGGCATATGGCACAGCACCTAATGTAACGGGATAGGAGAAAAATGTGACAGACTAGAATTCAAGCCCAGGCCCACTGAATCATCACTGTAGTCAGATGCTTTACCAATAAGCCATTGGTGATTAAACCTGCCTGACCACCTCATGTGGCAGTGCAGATTGCTTTTGAAAATTGAAAAATACAAGTCTCTGGTACTGTATGTAAAGGAAATTTTAAATTCTGATCCTTTAATTGTCCAGTTAATCTAATGAAAAACTTGGTCATGCCCTTAACAAATTGATATAAAAATAGTATAATGAATTATTAGGCTAAATTCACCTCAAAAGAATTTTTTGCTCTGCAAGGCTGAGAGGCAGGAATATTAAAATTATTTGGAGCTTAACCATTCGAATAAGTACACTTGTATATATACCTAAAATATATGTAAAAATATTTTGGGCACTATAAACTATAACAATTTTACGGAAAACTACATATTGCTGAAGAATCCGAATTTTTCTCTGAACGAATTAGCTTTTCTTTCATATTACTTCCGGTTTGGATTATCGCGTGAGAGGTATAATATGTATGCTGTTTTGGATCTCGTAACCAGCCTCTATAACCAGGCAGAGCGCATGCGTGAAATAAATTTCCATCGAGATCGGAAGACAGCAGAGAGGAAATTCGGAATATATAATGGAAACTTAGTAATGCGGAATGATACTATAGTCAGATGCAGAAATTTTTGCATAATTCGATCAACTTTTATTTAAAAAAGCAGAAGAATAAATGAATCAACTTTACAGTTAGTTTTTATTTATTTATTAATTAATTTATTTATTTATTTAATTAATTATTAATTAATTAATTTAATTTATTTATTTATCTTTCTTATGATTAATTAACTAAGTAACTGATTAATTTATTAAAAAATATATATTTGTATTTTTTTTTTAAATTCATTTATAACATTCTTTCCTCCATGTATTAATTATTCCATCCATTAATTAATTATCTATTAATTAATTCATTGATTTATTAATTTGTATGCATGTTTGTTTATTTATTTACTTATTTATTATTCTAATGATTAAGTAATTGATTAATTCATTAAGAAGTTCATTTATTTGTTTGTTTATTTATTTATTATATTCATTCCTTCATTTATTTCGTATTCTATTAATTAATTAATTTATTTATTTATTATTGATCTATTTATTTATGCATTCATTTATTCGTATTTTTCTTTATTTCTTTATTTTTTATTTCTTTATTGATTGATTTATTTATTTTTGCATTGATTTATTGATTTATTTATGCATTTATCATATATTTCTTTTATAAATTAATTATTTTTACAGGGTTTGTATACTTATTACCAGGGTCTGTTTATGTATTGCCATAGTTTGTATACCATCACCAGGGTCTATATACCTATCACCAGGGTCTGTATACTTAACACCAGGGTCTATGTACCTATCACCAGGGTCTATATACCCATCACCAGGGTTTGTATACCCATCACCAGGGTCTGTATACCTATCACCCGGGTCTCTTTACTTATCACCAGGGTCTGTATACCTATCACCAGATTCTGTATACCTATCACCAGGGTCTGTATACCCATCACCAGGGTCTGTATACCTATCACCAGGGTCTGTATACCTATCACCCGGGTCCGTTTTATCTATCACAAGGGTCTATATACCTATCACCAGGGTCTGTATACCTATCACAAGGGTGTGTATGCCCATCACAAGAGTCTATATACCCATCACCAGGGTCTGTATTATCTATCACCAAGGTCTGTATACCCATCACCAGGGTCCGTATACCCATCACCAGGGTCTGTATACCTATCACCAGGGTCTGTATTATCTATCACCAGGGTCTGTATACCTATCACCAGGGTCTGTATACCCATCACCAGTGTCTGTATTATCTATCACCAAGGTCTGTATACCCATCACCAGGGTCTGTATACCTATCACCAGAGTCTATATACCTATCACCAGGGTCTATATACCCATCACCAGGGTTTGTATACCCATCACCATGGTCTGTATACCTATCACCCTGGTCTCTTTACTTATCACCAGGGTCTGTATACCTATCACCAGGGTCTGTATACCTATCACCCGGGTCTGTATACCCATCACCAGGGTCTGTATACCTATCACCAGGGTCTGTATACCTATCACCAGGGTCTGTATACCTATCACCAGGGTCTGTATACCTATCACCCGGGTCCGTTTTATCTATCACAAGGGTCTATATACCTATCACCAGGGTCTGTATACCTATCACAAGGGTGTGTATGCCCATCACAAGAGTCTATATACCCATCACCAGGGTCTGTATTATCTATCACCAAGGTCTGTATACCCATCACCAGGGTCCGTATACCCATCACCAGGGTCTGTATACCTATCACCAGGGTCTGTATTATCTATCACCAGGGTCTGTATACCTATCACCAGGGTCTGTATACCCATCACCAGTGTCTGTATTATCTATCACCAAGGTCTGTATACCCATCACCAGGGTCTGTATACCTATCACCAGAGTCTATATACCTATCACCAGTGTCTGTATTATCTATCACCAAGGTCTGTATACCCATCACCAGGGTCTGTACATATCACCAGGGTCTGTATTATCTATCACCAGGGTCTATATACCTATCACCAGGGTCTGTATGCCTATCACAAAGGTGTGTATGCCCATCACAAGAGTCTATATACCCATCACCAGGGTCTGTATACCTATCACCAGAGTCTATATACCTATCACCAGGGTCTGTATTATCTATCACCAAGGTCTGTATACCTATCACCAGGGTCTGTATACCTATCACCAGGGTCTGTATACTTATCACCCGGGTCTGTATACCTATCATCAGGGTCTGTATTATCTATCACCAGGATCTATATACCCATCACCAGGGTCTGTATTATCTATCACCAGGGTCTGTATACCCATTACCAGGGTCTGTATACCTATCACCAGGGTCTGTATACCCATCACCAGGGTCTGTATACCTATCACCCGGGTCTGTATTATCTATCACCAGGGCCTATATACCTATCACCAGAGTCTGTATACCTATCACCAGGGTCTGTATACTTATCACCAGGGTCTATATACCCATCACCAGGGTTTGTATACCTATCACCAGGGTCTGTATACCCATCACCAGGGTCTGTATACCTATCACCAGGGTCTGTATTATCTATCACCAGGGTCTATATACCTATCACCAGGGTCTGTATACCCATCACCAGGGTCTGTATACCTATCACCAGGGTCTGTATACCTATCACCCGGGTCTGTATACTTATCACCAGGGTCTGTATACCTATCACCAGGGTCTCTATACTCATCACCAGGGTCTGTATATACCCACCACCATCTATAACTATCATCAGAGTCTATATACCTATCATCAGGATCTGTATACCAATCACTAGGGTCTCTTGACCCATCAACAGGGTCAGTTTATCTATCACCAGGTTCTGTATACCAATCACCAGGGTCTCTTGACCCATTACCAGGGTCAGTTTATCTATCACCAGGTACTGTATACCAATCACCAGGGTCTCTTGACCCATCACTCGGGTCAGTTTATCTATCACCAGGTTCTGTATACCAATCACCAGGGTCTATATACCCTTCATCACGGTTTTTTCTTCCCTCGTGCAGGGTCTAGTTCCCATCTTTTTAGTAGGGTGACCTTCAACATAGTTTGCATTATGAAAATGAATCCAATTACTTTTTAGGGTGTCTTCATAAACGTAACATCTTGTGGATAACGTATGAGTTGTTTAATGAACTATAATGATTTTATTGTGATTAAGATGCCCTGACTCTAATGTTATATTGATCTTATTTACTTTTTATTTTGTAGTGTAAGCCTGTCAAGGAGGAAGCAAAGGATATAGAAACTTATAACAATGGACAAAGATTTATATTTGTGTGGAACTATCTTTACATTGTAAATGCCAATGTATCCTGATTCCTCTATTGCATAAATCGAGAGAAATCTAAAAATTCCATTATGGTGTTTACTTGTTCCAGAGAAAATGTGAAGATATACATATCTACATAATTAATCAATAAAGTGTGAAATGGTAAAAATTATCATAAAAGAAGAGCAACCAACACAAAGTTCAAATTTCTTCTATGTTCATGACAGTAGAACAGTAGGATAATAGGGCCAAAATATGTGTTCTACAAACCCTAGCTGTCATGTTGTCAAGAAGGAGACCCAGTGTATTTTCACTGCATGGAAATGATATGGAATGT